TTTCGACCTCCTCAATAATAGCACTATCATTCAGAGGTACCACCTTAACACCCTTGCTATTGCACAACCCAACACTTCCCAACGGCTTTGAATTGGCATAATCACTTTCAGACAATGCTAACCTCCAATAGTTGAGAATCTTGAGATCAAGTGACTGTGGTGGGCCATCTGCAACGGGAATTCCATTCTGTTCACACCAGCTAGCCACCAAACCCTTAACACAGTAATTGGGAGTCGAAGAAAGGTGCGGGAGCTGCTGTTCACTTTTTGGACAAGTATTGTGCCCATCGCTGAACCATTTCTCTATACAGACCCTTTCGTATGTTTGCCCAGAAGCAATAATCACCGGATCATACATAAGTTGCAATGATATTGGACACCTTAACTCTTCAGGGGGGACATGCATCTGCTCTGATCTCCTGAAGTTCGATTTAAAATTGAATGAACTAAGTTTCAAAAGTTGCCTTTCAAAAGTAATTCCATTGCGTGCAAGGTTGCCACCATCATTGAAAGATCCTTGGATAGTGGGTGAACAAGGTGTTGAACCCTGTAAGTCATTGTCATCTGAGAACTCAGTTCTGAACAACTTTGAGTACTTTCTCATAAGATACAGAAGATAAGCAATGATTGACTCCTTCCTTTTGTCTTCCTCAGCCCGGGCTCTTTCTATGAGTTTCTTTAAAGCCCTTCTCTCTCTAAGTGCTGCTCTTGAAGAGGTAATACAAAGTTTAGAAGCAGCCTGGTGAAAAGAATCAAGTTCATTGTTGTCACTGCCATTGCTGTTGAAGTTTCTCCCTTGTCGGAGCAATGCAATGATCTCATCACCAGTTTGCTTTACAGTCGGATCAAGTGAGAACACAATCCCCTGAAGTTCATCCAAAATTTCCTTAATCTGAAGCAAGAGAAGCATAATTAGTCTCGGAATAATTCTCAAACAACATAGCATTTATTTCAATAAATTTGTTGATAATGAACAAAATTTGAGAACAGAGCAAAAGCTTTATCACATTAACTTTAATTTCTGGCCGAAATACACCATGAAGTGTCGACAAGTATTCTTTAAACAGCAGCAAGAATGGAGTATGTTTTAACCGTTTATCTCTTCAATTAATTATTAAAGATGAAATTGGTTCCCTACCACTACTGGCAGGTCCATTACATTTATCTTCTGCTATTGTCAAATATGAGTTTTCCATCTCAACAACACAAGGGTATACTACAGTTCATTCCGAAGTTATGGGACTTTTACCTCTAGAGAAAGAAATGAAATTAAAGAAATTTTGTAGCCAAAAACTGAAAACACACAAAATAAATAAATAAATAATTAAAATAAAGTTAAATACCATTCTCATCAAGACTGCAATTACTAATAAAAATTTCATAGATGAAGAGATCCAACAGGAGACTGTAGTGGCCAAACGGGTAATACCTGAGAACCAATAACTTGTGGAACGATATCTTCGACGAGCCTTAGACTATCTTCAAGGACACATCTTGCTTTCTCAAATTTCAAAACAATAGAATCTCCAGTTATAGCCTGACAACAATCATGTACATTAAACATATATATGAATGGAAGTGAAAGAGAGAGAAAAATAGGAGGAAATTAAGTGTATGCTTCAAAAATGCATCAAATCTCAAATGCAGAAGCCCTCAACTATTAACTACTTTCCATACACATAGGCACAATCAAGTGAACTTTTTATATCCATATATGATTACACACACATATAGGTTAGAGACAAACTTCTACATATGAAAGTTTATATCCTGGAATAGGCTTTAATTGTTCAAGCCACATTAAGAAGATGAAAAACCCTTTTAAAGACATGGTACATTATGATGACTCAAGTAAATTTTAATTGATAAAGGGTATTTGGAGATTGCAGCAATCCCTAATGAGAGTCATTTTCCCCAAATGCACAGAGAAACATGAAAAAAGAAAGAGCAGTCACACCAAGTAAAGTTTACTGCATTCTGCACAGTGTTGAAGAAGATTCTTGGCCTTCTCGAGTGCTATGTGCAAAGCACATAGTGACTGAATACCTGATGTGCTTCTAGGCCGAGCTGCTTCTAGGTCAGGTAATATTGCCAACAGTTTGGCATATATAGAACATAGGCTCTTACACATTTCACCATGCATCTGCACCAAGAACCACATCTCTGTCAGTCACTTCACAATCTAAAATATACTATAAGAAACTCACCAAACTTACTAGTAATACGTTCCATTACAATGATGCAAAACAACTCACAAAATCATGCACATGCAAAAGTAATTGGTAAAATTGAGACCCGTGATTCAATTGTCATTGAGTTTGATGTTGAATTAGAAAATAAACTTCATACAAATTACAATACGTTACAATTATACCAATTAGTCAAATTCAAACATCAAATACATTTAGAAAACAAAACCCGTGGAATAAACACGGGCATTTCCGTCCCCACACCTTGGGCTCGCCAATTGAGATCAAATGATCTTCAACCTTGGAGATGTCCATGATTTTTGATCGACGTGGAGAGCAACAGCACTACTTTATATAAACCTGGAAAATGGAAAATGTTAAAAATTTCGCTACAAACAAAAAGCACAAGCAATTTACTATCTAATCATATTAGCTACAATCGCTATTGTTGTCGCCACATATTTAACAAGTGGAACGAATTTAAATAAAAAATAATCCATCATCAACGCCATTTATAGAGCTTAAAAGTAGGAGTTTTTTCAAATCAGAATATAAAAAAAAAAAAAAATTATAGTTTGCCAATTAAATGACAGGTGGTAAGGTGCTAAATTTTCAACAAAAACACAATCATATGCAATAAAAAGATTTCAGCTAACTGATTAATATTCCAACTTACAGAAACAAACTCTGTTGAAGGAGGCTTCATGAATAACGTCACCCAAAACCAAAATTCAGAAAGACCATTACATTACAGTTCCAATTCATCAATTTCTTCTCATATGATTCCCCTAATGTTGTTCTGATTCAACAGAATTAAGAGAGAGTTGGAGAGAAGTGAGGGACTAGACAGGAGAGGAGAAGAGAGGAGAAGAGGGGCGTTGTAAAAAGTAAGGGAATATTTGAAATAATATTTTATTGAAGTGGAAATATAATAATTGAGGCAAGAACTTGAGGGGTTAATTTTAAATAATTGATTTAATCTAGGGATTTAAATTAAGCCCTTATTTGATCTTTTTGGTCAAAATGTATTTTAAAATAGTGTTTTCTTAGAAAATATATGACAAAAAAGTAGAAAATATTTTAAATTTACTTGTAAAATTATTTTATTCCTATACAGTAGAAAATGAGTTTTGGAAAAATAAATTTTCGAAAAAATAAGGATCAAACATAGGTTAAAAATAATCATGCTACATAAACAAGTTCAGTGATAGGATTAAAAACAGAGGAACATGCAACGTAACATCATTTGACAGCTTAAAAATAATAAAAAATAACCAGCACCTGTCAACATCCCTATAGCATTATTGACATTTTAAATCGATATTGTCTCCCCCAACTCCTAATTTGTCGGTTTTAAACCGTAGTTTTTGAATGTTAAAAGTCAAAAGTGAAAATTGTAAATTAAGAGCTGCTGCTATCAATTTATGTTTTTGCGTTAGCTCAATTTTTATTTTTTTTGTCTACGAATTATGAAGGGGGGAAAGAAAAACTTTCATAAAAAATTAGAATAAATGAAAGGGTAATTATATTCAAACAATAATTTTTATTTTTTACACCACATTTTAATTATATTTGCAATTCTTAATCTTTATTCATTATAACATTTACTTTCCTAACGATTTTTACTTACATTCTTATCTTCAAATTTTTCATTAAATAATAGATAATAATTTATTTTCAAAAAGTTCATTGAAATGACATAAAATAACTTATTTTTCATCATGTTTTAAAAAATAAAAAAATAAAAAGTACAAAAAATATTTTCCCTCATTTCAAAGCATGAAAATAAAATATTTTGATATAAATTATCATCAAGGACGAGATAAACTGCAATTAAAATATAGTGTAACTAATAAAAATTGTGGTGCCAATATAACCACCCTAAATAAAATAAAAAAAATATTCCCTTCATTTCATAAAGTACTCATTTTTAGTTTGTCTCAAAATTATATGTCACTTTTCTTGTTGAAAATATAATTGATTTTTAATTTTCAAATATGCCCCTATTTAATGTAACATGTATCTAGTTATCAATAAATACGGAGTACTCTTATATAAATCATTATTTAATATAGAGGTATATTAGGAAAAATATAGATAAAATTTACATTCCAACTATATTAATTATATATTTTTCATATGTATCTATTTTTACAGAGCAAATGGAGTACATAATAATTAACAATTAATTTGCGAGTATAGATTTTTTTTTATAAATAGATTATTACAGGAAGACAGTTGTCTTCCTCTGATTTGTTAATAATCATCCAAAAATTTATAAGCACAGATTTTTTCTACAAAATTTGTACAAAAAACAGTTGTCTTCTTATAATTGGCTGTTGGCAAAAACAATGTATTTCTCTGGTTTGTTGTTGTCAAAAATTATTTTTGCCAACAGCCAATTACAGAAAGACAACTATTTTTTGTACAAATTCTGTAGAAAAAATTTGTACTTATTAAATGTTTGAATAATTAATAATCATCATTGATCAATAAGTTAAAAAATAAATGTCATCTCGATAATCTTATCGACAATTTTGCAAAGTAATTGACCGCCTTGTCACCTTTCCCTTGGATGTTTGTGACCTTTCAGAATGTGAATTCCCTTAGCCGTATACTCTAAACTCAATGACCCATGTCTTATTCCTCCAAAATTCGTAAAGTTATCATGAAAGTTACTTATAACCAAATATTATTAAACCCTCTCTTGAAACACATTTCCAATCACATGCAAATAGCTCTTAATTCAGCTTCTAAATTACCGAAATTATGTTGAAGAGCGCCATCTAAAAGGTTAAACGCTAAAAAAATTATCTGCTTTATTAAAAGTAACAATTATTCTTCTTGTACAACCGGGGGTTGATAATCCCGATTGATAATGTACTCACAGGAGGGGGGACCCACGATTTTTTTATTTAGCGTGAGCCTTCCTCCCATGTATCTAATTGTCGCCCCCAGGGCACATCTCCAAGTGGTAAAAGGGGAGGGTGGAGAAATCCAGTTTTGTTTG